AGATCTTGTTTCTCCGTTTTTCTGCTTTTTCTTTTTGTTTAAGTTCAAAACTTCTACTATTATTTTACTTTTGTCATTTGGGAAATCTAAAATGGTCAATCATTTCGAGTAGTTTTATTATTACATTTATTCTTTTTTTTTTATTATTATTATGATCTTATTGTAACAAATAACAGTAGAAGAAAAAAAAAATCTAGTATATACTGTTCGTTGTAATTTTTGTTGAACCAGTCGAGACGTGCTTTTTAATCATAATTTTAGACATAAAAGATAAAGAAAAAAATCTTCATTTCCCTTATACTTTTCTGCTCTGAATATAATAACAAATACCAGCTGAAATAGAAGTAATCGAGAAAAAAGTGTTAAGTGATTGGAAATTATCTAATTATTATATTAAAGTGATTCTCGTATAAATAATATCTGCATTCGTGCATTCATCGATTAAAATATTGACGTCAGTAGATAATCAGCACCTTTTTTTTGTTTCTTCTCTATATCTTTAATCAGATTATACTTCTCCTTTCCTATCTTTCTAAGTGAAAAAAAAAGATATATAGTTTTTCTTCCGGTATATCTTTTCTTTATAAGATCGATGTAACAGAGTGCAAAAGAAGATATTCATTAGTTTATTTAAATTTAAATAATCAGGTAAGAATATTATTTTGTTAGATTTAAGTATCTTTGTTGCATTTTAAAATAATAAATATGTATGATAAGAATCAATATTAACATTCTCATAAATAAATAAAAGAAAATGAGAATATTTAATTAAAAGTTTTATTTTCTTTGAGTTAAAAAAAAATCAATATTAAGTTTATTTAATATGTAAATCATTATCTATTTATTTATTGATATTGACATACATTGATCATCATAGTTATAAATGGTTACATATTGATCTTCTTTTAATATTAAAATATTATCATAGTTTGTTTTTCTTTTCTTGTATTTCTATTCGTATTTGTTTGAATAAGAACCAAATAATCAATCATGAAATATACAAGAAACTCAAAAAAAAAAAAAAAAGAAGTTTGTGCATTTAGACAAGTAGATATGTGTGTTGAGTATGTTATAGAATTGTAATGCTAATCACATTAAACCACAGAGAGAAAGATGAGTAAATGTCCTGAGAGAGAGAGAGAAAAAAAGAGAGCGAATGTTGAACCTATCCGAAAAACTAGATAGCAAGTATGTTTATGCAAATTGTTCAGAGTGCCTATGTTAGACGATTGATGCATTAAATGGTACCCGATGACGGAAGAAACATCAACTTCATTCATCGTTCATATTCATCTACTTGAGCAAGAAAAAAAAAAAACGAGAGAAGGAGGAGATCTTTATCGTTTCTAGCAATTTCCGTTTCTTTGTATCGATGTCATTCGCATAGTTTTTATGCAATATTTATTTTTTTTTGGGAGGAGAGGATCTAAATACTTATATTAAATATATTAAGTTTTAATCTAAAATCATTTATATTATTTCTAGTATTTTTGTTTTACAACGCACATGATTTCAACTGTTGTTGATGGGCTGTACGAGCTCTAAGCATGAATTATCACAAGAAGATTTACAATTTTTAAAAACTCATACGACATATTCAGAAAAGAAAATTAAAAATTGGTACAAAGGTTTTATGGTATGATTTGATTTTTTTCTTCAAAAAGTGTTTTTTTTGGGGGTTTTTCTAGGCCGATTGTCCAAACGGTGAATTAACACGTGAGTCATTTATTCAAATTTATAAACAATTTTTTCCTAAAGGACGTGCTGAACATTTTTGTGAGCATGTTTTTCGTGCATTTGACTCTGGTAAATTAAAAACAATGAAAAATTTTCATATTTTGAATGGAAATCTTTATTTTTTTTTTGAAACAGATAATAGTGGAAAAATTGATTTTAAAGAATTTTTACAAGCAATTAATATAACATCTCAAGGTACACCTGATAAAAAATTAGACATGGCTTTTCGTATGTATGATTGTAATGGTGATGGTTCAATAGATGAAACTGAAATGCGACGAATAATAAGTGTAAGAAGAAAAAAAAAAATTTTAATCTTTGAAATTTTTTTATTTTTTTATAAAGGCTATTTATGAATTAATATCTGATGAATATGATCAACATGAACGACAAATTGAAGCTGATGAACGTGCAATGAATATATTTCGTATGATGGATAAAAATTCCGATGGAATTTTAACACGAGAAGAATTTGTTGATGGTTGTATAAATGATGAACAACTTTATCAATTATTAACTCAATCGAATCGTTTTGGTGATAATCGTGAATCACAATCATCACTTGACGATTAATTTTTTTTTTGTCTTCTCTCGCTTTCTCTATGTACCTTTTTGTCTGTATTTAACATTATTTTAAAAACAAAACAAAACAAAAAAAAAAATAATATGTTCATTTTAGTTATAGATAGAAATTATGATAATCTAATGATAAATACAAATCAAAAAAAAAATAACATTGTGTTTGTTTCTCTAGTTAATATACAAAAAGACGATATAGAATTTATTGTATATGAACTTAAATTATCACATTCAACAAATAGAAAAAGAATTACGAAAATATCATCATAATGTTATAACACTTATTAATGCTAAAGAATATTATTATTATAAATTTGTTATTTTGCATAAGAGTATATAAACAAAAAATCATTTGACTGAATTTATTTGCCTTGAAGGTTAATTCTTTTTTTTTTGCTTATATTAAAGAAAAATAAATATTTCTGATCAAATAGAATCGAAGCAAAGCATAGCAGCAATGCCCTCTGGATAAGTCGAATGTCATATTTGATATATCTGATTTTGATAATAATTGATAGAATCGAATAGAAATGTTTTCATATTAATTCCAAATATTGAATAAGTTAGATGAGTTGCAATTGCATATTTTTATTTAATATGCAAATATAACATATTTTTCTCTAGTTGTATTTACTCATAGATGAATACTAATCATTAAATATGATTTTTTTAAAAATGCAAATATTTTCTATAGGTCAAACATTGATACAGAATTTCTTATTGATTTGTTTGCATTGCCATAATCAAATAATCTTACAGTAAGTTTCATAATATTTACATTATAGTACACTTCATACTGATCAGTTATTCATAAATAAGAAAATGATTCTTATAATCTGAATTGATGATTATTAATAATTGAATCGCATAAGGATAATACCTGAAAATTTGTTCAATTGAATCTAGAATTATAATAATTAACGAACAAGCTATTATGAATTAAACCAAATACAAATGCAATTCTTTTGAATAATTTACTATTTATTAATATATTAAAAGATAGAGAATAGTAAAAGATAAAAACGTGGAATATCGCAGTAGTGAATCCAGAAAATCTTGCTTATGTGACATCGAAAAACTTTCAATCGCCTGTGACTTTTGTCAGCAGGAATGTTGCATAAATTTGAAACAGAACTTTGATATTCGAGAAGAAGATATTTTGAGAAAGGAACCATTAGTTGATGTAAAAATAAATTTCAATTGTAACGACACTTTTTGCAATAAATGAATGTAGCATCAAAGTTTATTGCATCATATAGTATCGTTCTGTTGTAGCCATCTCAATGAATGAGATTTGATAAGCGGAAAGTGCACGTTTTTGTAGACGCAGAGCGGAGTTTTTTCCACTTACATTTGTCATTCTCTGTGTATTTGAACAACTGTTGGTTTCTTATCAGAAAAACAAAAGGTTCAACATCAAAGAAAATAAGAAAATTAAATCACAGCAGAATTATGCATAATTAAAAGTAGAAAATGAATAGCATGAAGAAGAACTACAAAGAGCACCAGCATTAATGTAATCAACTATTGGTTTGCTACCATAGTACGCATATCGAATTTACTACTTATACAACGAGTACATTTATGACAGATTGTACTCGCTATGATTGATGTAACCAAATACGATCCAAATCGAGGAACAAAAAGAAAGTATACAAAAAATGTTTCTGCTGCAGTAGATTACCGTTGACAAACAAAGTCACTTGTAGTGAGAGACCTAAACAAAGAATCTGACTTGAAACTCATGATTATCGTGTGGGTTTCTATACAAGTAATGTACATATATATATACTTATGTTGCTAAGCGTTTAGAAGCGAAGTATTTTGCACTCGTGGTTTTTTTTATAATGCTAAATCTCTCTAACAAAGATGGTCCTAGAACTAGAGTTTTAACACGATTTAATTAACTTCTTGCTTCTTGATGCGAGTATGAGACAAAAAAGATCAACCTCATCTACGTACATCCTTGTATTGATGTCAATTCGTGTGTATGACTTAGAGATCTTCCTCCTACATCTTTGGTTGGTTCAAATCTTCAATGATTCTGTTTTGGTTTTGATGAATACAACAGTCGAATCATGTTTTGACTTCTTCTGGCTTCCGATATAATTCAACAATGGCTTTCATTTGACATCGAATAATAAAGTTATTAATCAATTCTGTTTTATTCATTGTTATCGTGCATGCACTTGTGTATCGTTCATTTCTTGGTTTTTCAAATCTTTACATGATTCTGTATTGGAGGAAATTAGAAATGGTTGAAAAGCTGTATCAACACGTTGAATACTAAACTTGGTACAGAGACATTTGGTAATACTAAACGGGTAATATATTAAATTGAAGAGAGGCAGTAAACAAAGCTATCACATTTAGCGTTCACTTTTGCTTATACTCCTCAATTTTATTTTCTCCACAACTCTCACATATGAATATATATATATATTACTGAAAGGTTGATTTAGTAGTGCTATTATACCCTTCCCTATCACTGCTGGTCTTATTGACATAATCAATCTCGAAGTTCATAGCATGTCTAGATTCAATGTTATTTTTACAGTTGAATTTATGACATTGTTCGAATCATCATGATATAAATATATGACGCATGAGAAAAGATAAGAACAAAAAGAATAAAAAACAGAATAAATGGTTAGAGTGTATAATGTGGCTTTTTTATCAGCAAAATGGTAACAACGACAGTAACTCAAATCGATCTTTCTCATGAAGACTCACTTCAAGTGGTCTTACATTTTTTGGTGAATTTTGTATCCTTTAGCTTTGTATCTAGACAGAATTCGACTATTTCTAGCATGCACGTTTACCAGAAACACGTCAAGTATGGTCCTTACTCCGTTATATTCAACAGAGTTTAGTCGATCAAAAATATTTCTGGCCACATCAATTATTTGTTGATGATCGAGATCATATCAAATGTGTTATTTTCGTATATTCGACTGTTGGTTTTACAACCGATCATAGTCACTTAGATGACGACATGGTAGTAAGTTCAAGAAATATAACATTTGTTGCTGACGAAGAAAACCATGAAGTACTTCTAAATTTACTTGAACAATGTGTGCCATGGTTCAATATAAAAACAATCTTCTTTTGTGATATTGCTCATCGATTTTTGACAACTATTGAAAATATCGTTCGAGAGAAAAATCTTCTTGGTAATTTAAAGATATTTTCTTGTTTACAAATGGAAATCGATCAGAAAAAATTAGAGGAGACTAAGAAACAACTTGTACAAGAGTTACGATCAGGTAACACAATAACCATTCAAAAAAATAAATATATTTTCGAGATATAAAATCATTTAGACATTGTCATTCAACGTTTGTCAATAGCTGATGCAGCGTTGATCGACGAATTTTCTCTATATAAATCGAAGTTTTCTCTCGCACAAATTAAGTATCAAATTGAACATCTTCCAACATTTGGTAAGTTTTAAATAATAATGAACAAAAGTCATTCACTCGTCTATTTTTTTCATAGGTGCATATTGTCAAGGACAATTAGTGAGTTGGTGTTTGACACAATTCGATGGTTCTTTTGGAATGGCATTCACAATACCAGAATTTCGTCGACTCGGTCTGGCAACATTGTTAAATATTCAATTGGCTTCGGAGTTGTTTAAAATGCAAGAACGTGTTTTCTGCTTTGTGATACGGGAAAATGAAGCTTCTTGTAAGATGCTCAAAAAATTGGGTTATCACCAAACATGTGCTGTTGACTGGATTCATTTAACATCGAAATAAAGACTAAAAAAAGAAACAATAGAACTCTTTGTCTACATGATCTCTAATTTGAGTTAGAATATCTGAGATAGATTATCTGTGATTGAAAAACACTCTTCATGGTTGTACTCTATAAGCAGAAGGAAACCGAATGCTCAAAATTCAATTGTGGCACGTCATACTATAGATATGAAAAGAGAAAATCAAAACGAAAGAACCTATACTTTAAAATAATTCAAATTATGTGAATCATTCTAGAAAATAAAAAAAACAATTTTCATCAAGTGACATTTATCAAGTTGGATAAGAAAATATTCATATGAATGATAGATCAAAATATACTGTTTATTTTACTTTGCGGTGTGGGTATGTACAAACATGGGAACTAATAATGAAAGTGATCGCTGAGCACTATATCGTAAACTTCCACATCTACCACACTCCGCATTCATACTCTAATTAGAGATTAAATAACAAGCCATTCAGTGTTTAAAAATATGCCTCAAAAAGGGACATGTCAACAAATAAGATCATCACTAAAAGTGTGTTTATTTTAATCGAATATTTTTCATGAATCTTGACTTTTCTTATTGGTATCGATTCATTGAGTTCGTTTTTTGTGTTTTTTTTTAGAACAAAAATATTGAAGCGTAATGTTCGTAGATTAAACTAAATTATTATGCGTAGAAGGCATATTATTTTTACCTGAAATATTAGAGAATAGTGTTTGATATTCTAGGTGAATACAACTTTGAGGATAATTGAAGAATTTTTTTGAATTGTATGACTTTTTATAGAAGTAAATAACTTTGAGCAAGGACAAAGTCCTTTTATTTTTTCAAGCATTAATCAATTACTATTTGAATATCACAATGGCGTAAAAAATAACATACCATATATTTCGTCAATTCAAAATAATGACTTCATAGAGCAGTTCTGCAAAAAGCAAAAGAAAGACCAATTATATAAAATATATTTAGTTTCATAAACAAGGTTGGTATGTTTTGATTTAAAAAGTTTTTATTACCAATTGATTCTCACACACAGAACACATTCATCAATGAGTATTCAAATATAAACTAAAACAATAATAATTAGTCAAATACGACCTCATAACAGGATATTCTTTTAGTTAGTATCAAAATAATTTTTCTGAAAGCTTTATGAAAAAACCTTTTGTTTTTCTCACTTAACTTTTTCTCTAGTGTGAAAATATTCGAAGTGTTGAATGTTGAGTCTGAAATTAAAATTTAGTTCTAGCCGTTATCTAATCAGAATTACGAGTCTTCGATTGAGATTTTCAAAATATGTATAGGTTTAGTATTTATGAAAATCTGAGCAGTGAAATTTACATCGAAAATAATTTCATAAACTGGTTTCAGAGAAAGATAAAGTATTATATAAATTTCAGCTCGAATAAATATATTTTACGTGATATATTAAGTATCGAAAGAATAACGGTATTGTATAAGTTTTCAAGGAAAATATATTTCATTATTCAATTTTCTATAAGTAACTAATCCAGAAATTGATAATCCTAATAGAAGCGTCATAATTCTGGATTGGTAATGCCTGAGTGTGAATACTTTTCAGTTTCAGAAAATTTAAGTAAATCTTACTTATGAACCAAAGATGAGTTCGATTGGCGTTTGAGGAATAAGGATACTTCTTTATTAGGCAAGCGTCTAACATAGTAAAAGATTTCAATCAAAATTTATCGAATAAAATTATTTCCATTCGAACGAAAGTTTTTGAATCTAATTGAAATGAATCTTAAGTTTAAGTTTGTTCTCTTGTTCAATGCAGAAATATTCGCAGTTTGGTGAAACTTAAGCTTATTGAAAGTCTCTCTTCATAAATTATGTACTGAGAAACTTTATGAATGAAACATAAAAGATTCTTTATCATGAAATACAATAATAGACATTTGCTATTAATTAAAGAAATAATTATATATCTTTATTCAAAACTTATTGAATGGTATGAATTTCTTTAGCAATAGTTATTTTGCTATAGCATCTATAAAAGTACGAAAATATAATTAAACAAAAAAAAGTTAAGATAAAAACAATTTATCAAAGTAAAAACTACCGGTGCATTTTCCTACGAAGAATACAGAAAATTGATTTGCTTTTGAAAAAACTTTAAGTTGAACAGAACATTTAAATATGTGGAATTGTGAAGCAATCGGATTGATATAAAATGAGACTTATGAGTTGTTCGTTTTTTTGTGAATGGAATCCTTCTATCTTAGAATTACGAAATAGTGACAGTTGAAGTAATGGATATGATTGAATAAACATGATCATGAGAATAACGGTAGTGCTTGTTCTTGACTTGATCAAAATCATATACCGAGTATTATGTTTTATTTTAATAGATGAAGTTATGCATTAATTTATCGAATATAAATCTATGGCGAAAACAAATTGGTGTTGTCTGGCTTTTAATTGAAGTAAATCTTATTAGTGCGAATATTTTTGGATTTCCTGCACTTTTCAAAGTATTACCAAAGTATGGTGTCTACAATAACTATTGTCAATCAACAAATATTACTAATTCGACAGAACAAGATTGTAATCGTCAAACACAACAATATCAAGTAAATTAACTTGCAATATTTAATGTGCTCTTTATTATAATTGTTATTCTTCAGAATGCATTGACTTTGGGTATTATTTTTTTTAATTTACCATCAGTTTTTGTTGGTATATTAATTGATATGTTCGGCGGTCGTTTCATAAAATTAATCGGAATGTAAATTTTTTTTTTTTATACCAATATTTTGATTTCAAAGAGTTGGTTTTTTTTCAGAGTATTTCATGTTGTAGGATGGTTAGCGTTGGCACTTGTTAAATCTGATAAGTGTTTCGAAAAATTTATTATTTTATTAATTTCTTTCATGTTTTATGATTTCAGATCGAGATTCACTATTATTTGTTCACACATTGTTTACAGCACTATCCGGTATTATTGTACAAATAACAAGCTATGCAGCATGTAGTTATTTTTCTAAAGCACGGGCATTTTTATTAACTTTACTTGTGGGTTCGAGTTTGTCAGCATCGGTTTGGTATTCAGTTTTTCAAGTAAGTGTTTCCCATCAACGTGCAATTTCCATAAGGGAAAATATTTTTTTTTAGGTTTTAATTGATAGTGATAAATTAACATTATCTCAATTATCTTATATCTGGATGTCATTTGGAGCATTGATGTTTTTTTCATCATTTCTATTTCTTGATTGGAAATTTCCGATATTAAATCTTGGATATACATTTGATACAAAATTAGAGCAATCCAAGGCGATTACAACAGATGGTAAATAAAACAAAACACTAACAAATTTAAATTATGTATTTCATTGTTTTGCTTTTTTTTGTACGAATTAGAAGTCAATACTAAAGCAAAATGGTATACAAACATTTATCGGCGTATAGGAATTTGGGAGCATTTAACAAATCCTTTGTATATTGTGGTCGTTCTCTACTTAAGTTTTCTATTGATGCCAAATATTCTTCTGTCGGTCACTTGGTATCCATGGGTTTATTACATCAATAATAATGATAAAACAATAAGTAAATATATTTTTCTCAAATTTTTGTGAAATATCAATTCTTTCAAATGAAAATTCTAATCAGTTATAATTTCATTTAGTGTGTTTATCCTTTATCAGAAGAAATGATCATTTAGAATTTTCTCATCGAGAAATTTGAGTATGCAAGGATGCAGTAAAATATTTCTCCTAGATCAAACATGAATAAATACTCATTCTATTAAAGTACCTTTTACTACAAAATTTTGAATACTGATTTTTAACGACCTAGAGTTTATATATTTTTATTGTAGTCACACAAAAGGAGAGAAAGAGAAACCTACTTCATCAAGGTCAATACTCCAAGAAAAAAAAGAAGTTTTACAAAACAGAAAAGGAAAGTGAAGTGTAACTATTTTTATTAAAAAAATCAAAATAAAAGACAACAAAAAAAAAATCTCATGATATAAACATCAAAAGAATTCAATGACAGATTTATATTTCAGTGTGTTATGATTTAAATTGCAATTGTATCATCACTATGAAATATTCTTTTGGAAATAAAAAGTCTGACGCCCTATTCATATGGATGAGTCTAATCAAAATAAATTCATTGTAGCTGATAGGTATACATTTGTATTCAATATGGCATCATTATCTCAAATTTTTCTTTGTCCAATCGTTGGTTTTCTTCTCACATTTCGAGCAGATAAGAGTATGTATCAAACCTTATGAATAAATATCATATTCAAATATATATTTAGGTTCAAAACAAAAAATATTGAATGCCGCAATTGCTCAAACATGTTCATGGATTTTAAATATAATAATATGTATTATTTGTATGTTCGTCAAAACTACTGCTATCGTTCCTGCACTTGTTTTTAACTACATTGGGCGATCAGCAATTATAGCTGGTTCACAAGCAGTTGTTGCTACTTTGTGAGTCTACCAGAGAGCATTTTTGACCATGTTCGATATACATATGTATCTAAAAAGATCAATATGACATTTCGTAATGCTATGAAATGCAATAATATTTTCTCTTTTTATTTTGGTTAGTTTTTCATCTGAATACATTGGTAGATTAACTGGCATTATGTGGACGTCCGTGGGAGCGATTACTTGTATTCAATATGGACTAGTTCAATTAACAATCGATGTGTCTCAATCTTGGAGAGTGAGAATTTTGTCGATTAGATGAGCCCAATCTCCTTCTTGCTATTTTTATCGTAGGCTTGGATTATTGTCTTGATATTAGTTGTATTGATGTCATGTCATTTGGTTCAAATTTGGCGTATCACCATTAGACAACGTCAAGAGCGGGTACCAAATATTAATTGATTTTAAATCTGAAACTAAAGACTTATCTTTTTTTACGAATATCGAACAGAAAATGTTTGATTCATTTTAATAATTGATGCTATTAATTTGCTGGTAGCATGTCAAAATATTATGCTTTAGGTAATAAGAGTTTGAGTGTATCAGTGAGGGGGCCCTACTTGAAGTGAAGTCTCAAGCTCACAAGCTGAAATTCATGATGAAAATGATACTGAATGAAGAAAAACACAACCAACAAAATAAAATATTGTGTATTTTCAGTTATATTGATTGGTGTGAATATTACATGTATACATTCAAATAGACGATATTATCAATAAATATGAGTATTATTTTTGACAGCCACTTATCTTTGAATTTATCAATCAGAAATGAAAACTAGTTTAATTAAGATTTATTTATTTTGTTTTTAAGCATTGTAAATCAAATATCGCCCAGATTTATCAATTGATATTGTTAGTTTACCCTATCCTTCAGTATAGCTGAAAGAATGATATATGGTGTAAATATATAAGATAGAAAAAATGAAACTGCTTTAGATCTATTTAGGATTTCAATGAGCAACAAGGAAATCGATGCACTTTCAGTTAATGACATATGCAATTAATGATAGATATTATTAGAGTATCTACTAAATCGATATTTTAATGTATGACATCGCAATGACATGAACCAAGGTCATCTAGATCTCAAATGATTAATTGCAGAAGATGTTGTCGCCTTTGTTTGTCCAGGTTTTTCTGATATATGTATTCCAGTTGACCAATGTTAAATATGATATCAATGAGTACTCAAGAATTTTTTTATAGTATTATTAAGTTTTACATTTCTTCTATTACACAATACTGTTTTCCGGAAATATGGTTTTTTAAAGAGAAAATGAAAAAGACAAAAAATCAATTCACTCCTAATCTTTCAAAAACCTTGTTTATCATTCGATGCAGACTTAAATGCTCAATCATTTAGTAGTTTTTTGAAATTGTTTCTAACTTATTTAAAATCAATTACGATTTCTCATAACATAATTAATTATCACACATGATTAGCGTCCGATTCATGACGATATTCCATTCCTGTCCTAGTATCAATTCATCATACTGAACTATGCCTTGTTTAATTAAAAAAAAACATGCTAAAGCAAGCCGATTTGATAGTCTTTCAAAGATATGCTTAATATCGACTGTTTGTATAATCGTAGATCCTATGCATGTTCCCCGACGTTTTTGGCTTTTGGAGAATGAGTTATATATAGTGCATGGTGTTATATCTATATCAATCAATAGCTCTTGACTACAGCGATCTATTGATATACGCGTTCTTGTTCAGCATTATTAGTTATTTTTTTCACATTTATGAATCAAAAGGCGATAGTTTTTGTTTCTTGCCAATTCAAATTCAATTGTATATTCGTGGGTGGGTGTGAGTGTGGGTGCACATATGACACTTCTTTCCATTGGCTTCCACACCCATATCCACACCCCACTCGGGAATAATTGGCTCCCGTACAAGTTGAAACGACATTATTCGTTTGGGAGAGAAATTACTAAGGCAAACATTAGAAGTGACACGTCTAACGGTTGAAGAGATGCTCGACATACGAAATCCGAATCCTACTGGTATTATAGAAAATGCCTATCAAGAAGCAATGGTTCAATTCGTTCGAGATGAAGTCGATTACAAAGCGACTTTGAATGAACGTTTTCCAGATATTCACACAATGAAGAGTGAAGAATTCTTAGAGCAATGGTGGAAAGAAAAACAAGAACGAATCTTGTAAAACTCTGGCAGACGAACTACACGTTGTGTTCGCTTTTAGAAACTTATATTTTCGATGCAAAAAGATTAGATGAAAAACACCTAACATAGTCACTATTTCTTTGATGTCATTGTGGATTGTTCATTGTTGGATTTTGATAGTGTTTTTGTGTAGTTTGTAGTGCGACAAGAATTCGCTCTCGTTCCTTAATATCTTTATGACCAGATGGGAGGTGTAATCGAGAGATTTCTATGGCTTCCTTAGCATGGATGATGGCTTCGTTGAAACGTTTCAATTCACCTAAATTGTTGGCCATATTTGTGTGAACAGCAGCTAAAATAGGATGATTGTGACGAAGACAACGTTGATAGATATCAAGAGCTTTCTCACAGGAAGAAAGTGCTTGCTTATAATTTTCCCGATCATGATAGACATGACTGATGGTACTGTAAGTTGAAGCTAAATCCATATGATAATTGGGTAGAGAACGAAGTTGGATTTTCAATGCCTTGTTTAGATTGATCAAAGCTTCATCATGGCGATGAAGATACAGAAGTGTTTCACCTATTTGAGCGTAATTCTTTGCCAGTGTCTATGAAAACATTCATTAAGTCAAATCACATATCATACATTTCTTTCGTTTTTTACCTGAGGTTCTGGTTGGTACTTTTTTAGTCGTATGTCCAATGCTTTTTGCATATTGTCCAACGCTGCCTGGAGATCTATTTCTTGTTCAAAAAGAACTTGACCAATCATTGAATAAGTATCAGCTGCAGCGAGTACATTGATTTTGCGATGTTTTCTGAGAATATCCAATGATTTCTGTAAATATTCCAGCGCGGTGTTCAAATCATTCAAGTGATAGTGAATATAATGCAATTGATGGTAAGAATGAGCCATACCTTCTGTATGTTGATTAACAATAGCTTTGTTCAGTTTGCTTTGATAAATTTCTTTGGCTTTCTTCAACAACTTCAATCCACGTACAAAGAAAAATAATGGACCAAAATTACAGACACCTCGAGGTAATTACAAATATCGGCTCTTTTTTTCATGTAATCATCCCGCTGCAAGATTCAAATATTCTTTTATCTTTGTTATCCTGAAAATTAGTCATTCTAATGAATGTCCTCAGAATTTGACTATCTTATCTGTACGACTATTTTTTCTTATTTGTGTTAGTGTAGTTTATTAGAGTCAATGATTACGTTTACGGAACATGATTACGTCCATTTGATGAGTATTCATTAAATATTTCCACTTCATGGTTCGCACTTCTTTTTTCTTACTTCTTTTCTTAATGATATTTTGAAGAACAGAAAATATTCTTTCGACGTTCTTAGTTTTTTCACGTTTCTCAGCGCATACCCTTCTGCCCGCTTAGTATCGATATAATCTGATGAGAAGCGTTGTTCACAGAAAAATTCGGTCAATTGGTATCTTTATGATGTCTAAGATCTACAAAATCAATGTTTAACCTCAGAATTCATACTTCTGGGAATGGACAATATACACGACTGATTTTTATACACTTGATCGTAAATGGACTGGTTTTTCGAAGAATCGAAATTTATCACCATAGCATGAAATATCACTCACCGATCGTAAAAACTATAGCGGTACTTCTGATGCCTGCTATTATTTTCAAGATCAGACTGTTTCAAACATCATAGATTATTGTCAAACACAAACCTATAATCGTGATTCTCAGAAGCAGAGGAAAACAATCGAACGGCAGTATTTGCTACGATAAAACTGTATATTCTTTACCTATCTCTCATCGAATCATAATTTCGTATGAATAACCGCTCGGTTGACACTTACGCATAATGCTTCCGTTATATTTAATATAAAAACTGTATCTGTATTCTTTCTTTCTTTCTAATCTATATGACTACTCCTTAATCAACCCGAAGAAAATTCTAGGCAGAGCTCGCTACTTACTATTACCTGCTGTCATATATGGAAACAACTAAAAAAATTTCGTTCATAGGCAAAAACTTAAAAGATGATAACAAACAAATACATATGTTTTCTACATCTCACTCACAGACATGTATTCTCTTTTCACATAGAGACTCACCACACTAAACTTCTACAATAAGAAAATTGGACACGAACGAGCACAATATATCGCTAATGCATTACAGCATAACACGGTGAACATCATTCTCTCTTCACCTATCTCATATACACAGCTCCACTTTTACACACAGACACTCATCACACCGGCTCTTCACAACAATCGAATTGGAGATAAAGGAGCACAGCATATCGCCGATGCATTAAAATATAACACGGTGAATATCATTCACTCTTCACCTATCTCCTATACACATCTTCACTTTTCACACAGACACTCATCACATTAAATCTCTATCACAATCAAATCGGAGGCAAAGGCGCACAACATATCGCTGATGCATTACAACATAACACGGCGATCATCATTTTCTCTTGCCCCATCTCATATACACCTTTCCACTCTTTCATACAGAAACTCTCTACATTAAATCTCGGAGACAATCAAATTGGAGACCAAGGAGTACAATATATTGCTAATGCATTACAACCTAACACGGTGACCATGATTCTCTTCTCAGCTATGTCATATACACATGTCTACTTCTTTGCACAGACACTCATTACACTAGATCTCCAATACAATCAAATAGCAGCTCTGGGAGCACAACATATCGGTGATGCGTTACAACATAATACCGTGAACGTCATTCTCTCTTCACCTATCTCATATACACATCTTTCCTTTTTCACATAGACTCTCACCACACTAGATCTTCGCAACAATCAAATCGGAGACAAAGGAATACATTACATCGCCGACGCGC